AGGAATATATAATAATTTAAGCAACCAAAGGGCACATTCTACAAGCCAGCCTCCTGGCTGTCAACACACAGCCTTTCTCTTTCCATGTGTCTAGAGTCCTCAGCTGCTCCCTTTCTCCATGCCCTCATCTCTGCCTCCATCTCTGGTGTCGCTGCTTCTTTGGATAAGGTCCCGCATCTGGGAAAGTTTTGATTCTTGAAACTTCCATGAAGTCTGGTGGTAAAAGTTTGTGTTAGCATTATGGGTGTTGTATAAATACTTAACTGTTTGCTACAACTAGTTCATCTGTATTGGATCAACCTTTAATTTGAGAACCAGTGAGTCTTTTATAGATGAAATTAAGAAGAAAGAATGCAGTCCAGTCTAGAATAATCAAGATGCCAAAATGGAATAATTGATTAGAAAGTTAGAAAAATTTCATAAGTTAAGATTTAGGAGTTTAGTTACATTGAAACAAAACTAATCAGCTTTAAAAATAAGCAACTCAATTTTACAGTAGAAATAAAGAAGAAAAGAAAGGAGACAAAATGTAAAAGAAAAAGCTTTGGACTTAAAGTTGAAAGTTCCAAATTTAAACCTTGATTCTGCCCAGAGTAGATTACCCAGTAAGCAAGGTAAACATGGGTTTACTTGTGCTTGCTTACTAATCTGTGGTGAACCATTTCACAAGATGCGTTTAAAACTACATAAAACTGCCCACTACTGATGCTAAATAAGCACAAACAGGCCTGTGCTTACCTTATCTAATAGTCAGTCCTGACTCATAGCAACCCTGTATAGGATTTCCAAGGATTGGCTGGTGAGTTTGCACCGCCAACCTTGCAGTTCCAACCCACCTTGCAGTTGAGTGCTTATCTTTAATAAGGATTTTTAATGTTGTTGATGCTGTAGGAAGCAACATCTTTGATGTGGTGAAAAAAAAGTGAAATTGCTCACTATAGATTAGTAAGTAAGCACAAGTAAACTTGTGGGTAACCTGCCACTGGTTCTGCCTCTTAGTTATTTTGTGGCTTTCATGGAGATATTTAACCTTTGTCACTATCAGTTTTTCTAGCTATAAAATGGGGAAAATAATAGTTTACAGGACTGTATAGTAAGAATTATTTAAGATTTTGTATATAAAAGCTCTTTATAAATTGCATAGCATTATATAAATTTAAATTGCTGTTATAAAAATATATTGGTTTTATCTTAATTTTTTTTAGCATCAATGAAAGGAACAATACTTCGTGTTAGTGTTAGATTAGAAGTAACAACTGGTTTAGATATTTGATAGCAAACAAAACTTTCAAATGAATTCCATGGGAAATAAGAGTAGGTTAGGGGGAAATTGTTTCTATTTCATCCAAACCAAGGAGAAAGGAAAGAAAAAAAAAAAGAAATATATATATATATATATATATATACACACACATACATACACATATACATATATACATATATATATATATGTATAAGTCAGAATGGACTCAATGGATCCTAACAACAACAACAACATATTATATGTATGTGTACATGAGTATATTTGTACATATACATATATACCTTCACACACACACACACACATCTACAGAGACCTTGTTGTACCATGGTTAAAATGCTCGGCTGCTAACCAAAAGGTCAGCTCACTGAAACAACCAGGTATTTCATGGGAGAAGAATGCAGCAGTCTACTTCTGTAAAGATTGCAGCCTTTGAAACTCCATGAGGCAATTCTATTCTATTCTATAAACTTGGTATAAATCAGAATCGAATTGTGTATACCTTCCCCCCCACCCCACACACAAATAGTACCTTGACTTATGGTGAGGTGCCATTCATAGTAAGTTGATTCTGACGTATGTTGACGATTTCTTTTTAAAAGTTAAGTTAGTTTTCATTATTATTGTCATTTATTACCTGTGTCTTTATAAATTTGATCTGCACATATCTGTGAGTGGACAGTGCCACACTAGGAGTCCTTTCCATCTATTGGTTCCTGGTATTCTACCAGAGTCCAGGTGAATTTCTCTACATCTCTCAGCCTAGTAAATCCAAGAGCTGCAATATGAACTCACTCTTCCAATGACACGGAAGATTGTTATCAGTTTTGCTCATTTTATTTTGTGAACAGTTATTTATCTTTCTGAAGGCATGCTATAAATCTTCTAGATTATAGCAAATCATCTAATGAACTGCTCAAAGCCTGATGGGGTCAGTACAGTTCCTTGGAGTGTGGTGTCATTTATTTATGGTATGTTTAGTTGGCATCTGGTCATGTGGACTTCTGACTAGAATAATATTATTAAAATTTACTCAAAGTATTCATCAGTCATCATGGAACTAGTCTGGAAAAAAGGAACAACATGTGCTCTTTCAGATTAATAAAAATAAGTTTATACACCAGAGTTTCTTTCACCTGCAGCAAATTTAAATGCTGTTAATAAACAGTTTAGGAAAGCTTGTTGTCGTTACATGCCAGTGAGTCAGTTTCAACTCTTAGAGACCTTGTATAGGTTTCTGAGAAACTGTTTGTGGATTTGAACTGCTGACCTTATGGTTCACAGTCCAGTGCTTATCCTACAGCAACAAGATTTTCCTAAATAAATATTTAGCTTAAAAGGTGATGGAATCTTTGAAAAATTTAATTGAAATATGACATACTGACTTACAAGATTAGCTTCCTCGACCATTATTCACGTATCTGTAAGTTTGTTGTACTGTGGTGGCTTGTGTGTTGTTACGATGCTGAAAGTGATACCACCGGTGTTTTATATACTAGCAGGGCCACCCATGGCAGACAGGTTTCAGTATAGTATCTAGACTAAGAACAGACTAGGAAAAAGGAATAGTAATCCACTTCTGAGGGATTAGGCCCTGGAAAACTTATGAATTGCACCAAAACAGTGTCTAATATAGTGTCATAAGATGAACTCCTCAGCTTGGAAGGCACTCAAAATAAGACTGGGAAAGATCTGCCTCCTCAAGGTAGAGTCCATTTCAATGACATGGAGGAAGCAAACCTGTTGGGACCTTCTTATCCTGATGGGGCTCAACTCAAAGTGAGAAGAAACATCCCTTAATAATTAATTGGAACATGTAATGTGTAAAATATGATTGTAGGAAAATTGTTGTTGTTATGTGCCATGAATTGGTTCCCGCTCATGGAGACCCTAAGCACAACAGAACAAAACACTGTCTGGTCCAGCATCGACCTCACAATTGTTATGTTTCAGCCCATTATTGCTGCCATTGTTTCAATCCATCTTGACTGCTGTGTCCATGAACATTGATTTGTGGATCCAAGCTAAATGAAATTGACAGCTTCAATCTTTTTTCTGTTTATTATGATGTTATTGATTGGTCTAGTTGTGAGGATTTTCTTTTTCTTTACACTGAGGTGCAGTCCATATGGAAGACTGTAGTTTTGATTTTCATCAGTAAGTACTTCAAGTTCACCATGCTTATTCAGTCTTCATGCTGAGCAAATAAGCCATGAATCTGGAGTATCTGAAGAAGAATGTGGTGTCAGGATGGAAGAAGGCTAATTAATAACTTGTGATATACAGATGGCACCTTACTTGCTAAAAGCAAAGAGGAGGTCTAGAAGAATTTATTTGAAGATTAAGGATTATAGTTTTTAGTATGAATCATAACTCAATGTAAAGAAAACAAAAATCTTCAAAACTGGACCAATAATAAACAATGATAAGCAGATAAAATTTTGACGTTATCAAGAATTTCATTTTTCTTAGATTCATAATCCATGCTTATGGAAGCAGCTGTCAAGATATCAACCGATGTATTGCATCGGGGAAATCTGCTGCAAGAGACTTGGAAGTTTTAAAGAGTAAAGATGTCACTTCGAAGACTAAGATGCTCCTGGCACAAGCCATGGTATTTTTAGTCACATCATATGCATGTGAAAGCTGGAATAAGGAAGAATGAAGAATAATTGCTGCATTTGAATGAATTATGATGTTAGAGAAGAATATTGAAAGTACCATGGTCTGCCAGAAAAACAGTCTATCTTGGAAGAAGCATGACCCTAATGTTCCTTGGAAATGAGACTTTATTAGGGATTGATTTTCTTTTTAAATATCTTTGTCATCAGCAGAATTAAGTATTATGATGGTGGTGGTGGTGATGTGCCACGGAGTTGGTTCTGACTCATAGCGACCCTGTATAGGGTTTCTGAGGCTGTAAATCTTTATGGGAGCAGAAAGCCTTATCTTTCTTCCACAGAACTGCTGGTAGTTTTGAACTGCTGACCTTGAGGTTAGCAGCCCAATTCATACCTACTACGCTACCAGAGCTCCTTCAGTATTTATGTAGGAAACATTAATTTTGCATATATTATTTAGCTTGTGGCGAGTGACTTTTTTTGGCAATGGATTTGTATTGATGATTGATTGTACTTAATCCATTTTATTTCTTTCTGTAAAACATTTATCAGGAAGTTGATGGACTATTTTTCACTGATTAAAAATGAATAATGGAAAAGAAGACTGGGATCATGATCATGTTTTCAAAGGTCAAAGAGCTATGAATACACTGTGTTTGATCATGTAGTACTGTTTCAAGACTTGAAAAATCAGTGTCTGTCTTTTTAGTGTAGCGCAACATGGATTTTATTTTTCTTAAAAGGACACACATACCCCTTGGCAAAGCTGGAAACATAGGACCCATTTCAGGAGAGTTTTCATTATAATTGTATTTGTTATACAGACAAATGTGTTATTGTATGTGTTGCTATTTCAAATGTTTGTATGTGTTCCAGAGGAGAAGTTTATATAATCTCTAGTCCAGTAGACGAATGGATTTGCCCTGAGGCAAGGATAGGTTATGTACTTAGTTAGAGATAAAGCTGCCTCTCAAATTCAGTGCTCCAGATTCATGAATCTTCCATAATACCACACTACACTGTCTTCAAAACAAATTAATATATACCAAGAGTAAAACCAATAAAATAATTGGCCAATTGAAATCAAAAGTCCTATATTAATGCTCTGTTTTCTTTAGATGAATAATGTGACTGCAGACTGTTGTCTTGATATCATAAGGAAGTTTGAAGTTTCAGAAGAAAATAAGGCGAAAAATATTCTTGGCATAGAAGGTAAAGTATTAATATTCTTAATTTCTGAACTCATTCTACCACCTTCCAGTGTACATTTTATAAAAAGGAATTAAGAGATACCCCTGTACTTACAAATAATTCAAAAAACTTATAACACACATTTGTCTGCAAAGTACATGCCATTGATATTGCTTTCTCTTACTTTTACAATAATAGGGAACATTTTCTTGTCCAAGCAGGTCCACTTGATGCCACTATGTACGAGGGTAAGTCAAAAAAGTATTGCTACAAAACCACAGAAACCTTTATTAAATAGAAGTTCAAGCTATGAAGTTACTGTTTCTTAACATAGTCTACGTCTAGGTCTATACGCTTCTGAAGATGGTATTAACCATTTTTCTAACCATTCTCCAAAGGATTCTATGCTTTTCAATGTATACAGCAGTGTTTATATCCTCGAGGAACTCAAATCATGTTCCTTTTCATTATTTTTCAAGGTGTGGGAACAAAAAGAGTCTAAAGGGGAAAGATTAGGACCGTACGGTATATGGAGTAAAGTTTGTCAATGAAATTCTCATAGAATGGTCCTTGCTACCCTTGAAGAATGAGCAGGTGTATTGTCTTAATGGAAATAAATTTCTTGCCTTGTTTTCTTGGCCTTTTTCTTACCAATGCAGTTTTAATTTTATTAAAACTTCTTCATAATAACACCCAGTGATTATCTTGTGTCCGTCAAGAAAATGTGTCACTATGACTCCTTTGGAATCCTTAAAAACAGTCACCATAATCTGCTGAGTTGACCTCTCTGACTCGGTGTGATCTGGCCCCAGAGATCCCCTTGGAAGCCACTGTTTTGATTGGACTTTTCTTTTGAAAGCACCCTAACAAGATTAAGGCCAAGTTTGTTACTGAGAGAACTTATCTGCAGTCTTACACTGATCTCAGAGACATATTTAAGTACAATTTGGTTGGACTAAACTTGTGCATGTATGAATTGGAATCCTAATAACAATACTTTTTGACTTACTCTTGCATGGTGGGTGCCTTGGAAGATTTGGACTTTTCTAAAATTTCCTCTGTTTGGAAATAGCTTCAATCTGTTGATTTCATGAAGGGAAATTCAGTTATAAAATAAAAGATCTAAGAAACTAGTATCCTAAAAAATGGTTGGGTATTGTTGAGTTGATTTTTAACATAGGTCATAGTGACCCTATGTTACAGAGTAGAACTGTCCCACAGTTTTCTAGGCTGTATTCTTTACAGTTGAGCCCTGGTAATTTCGTGGATAAGAGCTTGACTGCTAACGAAAGGGTCTTTGGTTCGAGCACACCAGCCTCTCTGCAGGAGAAAGATGTGGTAATCTGTTTCAGTAAAGATGTATAGCCTTGTAAACCCTGGTGTGGTGCTATAGGATATGTACTGGCCTGCTAACTCTAAGGTCAGTGGTTCAAACCCACCAGATTCACCTTGAAAACCCTATACAGGGTTACGATGAGTCAGAACCAACTCATTGGAACTTAACAACAGCAACAAGAAAACTCTATAGGGCAGCTGTATCCTGTCCGATAGCATCACTCTGAGTTGAAATAACTTGATAGCAACAGATTTTTTTTTCTTTTTTTGCTTAATCTTTACAGAAGTAGACCACGAGATCTTTCTTCCATGGAACTGCTTAGGATCTTATGCATAAATAATATGGGCTGAGTGTAGATCTGTGTATTTATAAGTTATGTATATTTAAAATATGTAGGAAAACAAATTGCAGGTCTCCCAGGCAGAGCAAGGAGTCCTGGTAGTGTAGTGGATTACGAATTGGGCTGCTATCCACAAGGTCAGCAGTTCAAATCTACCATTTGCTCCTTAGGAGAAAGATGAGGCTTTCTGCTCCTGTAAAGATTTAAAGCCTCCAAAACCCTGTACAGGGTCACTATGAGTCAAAAAGGACTTGGTACACAACCACCACCAGCACCAGGCGGAGCAGAGCATCTTAAAGAAGGTCTACTGGTACCCAGCTGCCCAAATATCATCCAAAGCCATTGTTTATTTAACCATTTTTAATTGCTGGCCTCCTATTTTTATCTCCTCTCAGGTGGATAGGGGGTCATGATACCATGTATTTACTTCCTGTGGTAGAAGGTAATTAAGATGAACAGGAATAATTTAAAATCTTATATCACTAAAAACCATTCTAAAAACAACCAGAGAACATAAACAAACTAATTGGAGCCTTTTCTGTACTAAATGAACTTTTTCTATGGTGAAGTCCCCAAATACATCATTACACATGGTTCCTGAATTATGGACATAATGTTGGAAATGAAGAGCTTAAAGGATATTTACAGATATAATGTAACTACAGAATTCTTGAAGATATGAAACAATTTACCCTATTAATCAGTCTGCTTAGGTACTTGTGGGTCAAAATATATTTATTCATACATTAATGAATGCCTCTTATTCTAGGCATTATATTTTGAAAGACTGTAGGAAAAAATGACAGGGTTTTCTACATAATATTTAAGCACTCTTTCAAAGTTATAAAATGTGCTGGCCATTAGCAACATCTTCCCAAACGAATTTCATAGTCAAATTACCACAGCTTGAATTTAGGCTATGCCTGACTTTTGACCTGCTACCTCAGTGTCATTTTATAGTCACACTGGTGCTACTGTTTTCCAAATCAATGCACTAACCTACCACGTTGCTGAGTGATACAGTGTCCGTTTAATATAAATTTGATTTTAACACTGTATCGGTCCTTCATTAAGTCACATTGCATGATCCAACATTGAGTTCAGTTGCCACTGAATGACTTTGCAGGGAGTGCCCTTCTAGTACCCAATCAAGCCTTAGGTCAATTAATTTTTCTCAAGGCTATGTTTAAGCTACTTTTATCCAAAATAATATTTCAGTCTCTTAACACTTTTTGACCATAAGCAAATCTGTGGGTACTCTAGTTTTCCCGTGAAGCTGCCCTAAAGGTCAATACGATAATCAATATGAACATATTTTGACCTCTCTTGTTCGTGTTATAGTCAATTAAGCAAATATGCCTTGGAAACTTTAGTACTTGACTGTTTCTTTCATTTTTCCAAAGGCTTCACAAACTTCATGCGTAGTCCTGCTTGCGATGTATTTAACCCACTGCACCATGAAGTGTATCAGGACATGGATCAGCCTCTCTGCAACTACTACATTGCTTCCTCTCACAATACATACCTGACTGGAGACCAGCTCCTCTCTCAGTCCAAAGTGGATATGTATGCTCGGGTGCTACAAGAGGGCTGTCGGTGTGTGGAAGGTACGTGGCTTGTGTCTGATTGAGTACAATTGTGTACCAGTAAACATATCCTTTCATCAGGTCGTCAAATCTAGTTTAAGTAATGGAGAGCTCTAGACTCCATTCGCACGAATCAGAACATCTATTCTGCTCATAGACTAAAGACTAAGTATCCAGTCTGGTTGTGTACATGACAACTAGGAGGTTACTGGTAATCTTTGATGTGTAGTTTAGTGGCATGTGATTGGAAAGGTGGTGGTAGCTAACCTGCTGTGGGCTGGTGACTGGGTATCAGTCTACGGTGGTGGTGATGGTGGTGGTGTGCCACGGAGTTGGTTCATAGTGACCTGGTATAGGGTTTCTGAGGCTGTAAATCTTTATGGGAGCAGAAAGCTTCATCTTTTTCTCACAGAACTGCTGGTAGTTTCAAACGGCTGACCATGAGATTAGCAGTCTGATTCGTAACCACTATGTTACCAGGGCTCTTTATAATTCTACCTTAGAGGAAGGAATTATTGTAGAAGAACCACTTGATGAAATAGTTGGGGGCCGGTTTTCAGAGTGGGAAGAAAGGAAAATGAAGGTTTAGTTTTAGAGTGAAGGAAGGCAAGGAGAAAATGCTTCTTGCTTGATAACCCTTGTTTTCTCAGGGAAGGAGGACACAGCATCACCACCAAGTGTGAAGTGGGTAGAGGTTGGTTGTTGATGTTGTTGTTAAGTGCCTTCAAGTTGGTTCTGACTTAAAGCAACCCTATATAGAGTTTCCAAGGAGCAGCTGATGGGTTTGAACCACCATCCTTATGACTCAGACTGACCTTGAGTTCCAGTTGTGGGTTGTTGTTGTTATGTGCCATCAAGTCAGTTCCGACCCATAGCGACCCACTATAGAGTTTCCAACAAGCGACTAATGTGTTGGAACCATTGACCTTGCAGCCCTGTGCTTATCCTTCGGCACCATTTGGGGCTCAAAAACATCAGCAAATATTTGAAAAAAGCCATCAAGGAATGGGAAAGGTGTTGACAAAATAACCTGGGGCTGGTCAGTGAATTTAAAAATAAAACAGTCTGTAGTACTATAGATCTGCATGGTTTGGACCCCTCGCCCTTACCTCCTCCCCTCACATATCTTCTTAGTTGTAAGAGTAATGAAGTCAGACTATAGAATTAAACCTAGGCTCTGGATTTCTAGGATACTGTAGTGGGTTGAATGGTCACATCCAAATTCCTGAGATCTACAGATATCACCTTATTTGGAAAAGGGATTTTGCAGATATAATTAAGGATCTCGAAATAAGGTCATCCTAGATTATCTGGATGGATCCCAAATCCAGTGACAAGTGTCCTTATAAGAGGCAGAGGAAGGGAAGTCACAGGCAGAGAAGTGGGTGTGAAGACAGAGAAGAGATTGGAATGATATGACCACAAGCTAAGGAAACCAAAAAAGGTCGGTGGCCAAATGAAACTGGCAGAAATGTAGATTTTCCTCTGAAGCTGTAGAGGAAGTATAGCCCTGCCAGATTTTAGGTGTAGCCCCGAGAACTGTGAGGTAGTACATCCCTGGTGTTTTAAGGCACTAAATTTGCCATTATTTTTTACAGCAGTTGTAGGAAATGAATGCAGTTGTGTTAAATGTCTTTAAAATGTTGGGTTGAGCTCCTTTAAGTAACTGACAATGGAGATCATGTGAGGTGAGGAAGCGTCACAAAGTGGTTAAGAGCCTAGAAGATTCAAAGAAATAGAGAAATGCAGAATTGTCATTGGTAGGTGGGATTTTGGATGCAGTTACAGGTGATGACAATATTCAGGCAGTGTCACAGGAAAGTATGATTAAAATAGAGTGAAGGAAGATATTACTGACATTGAAGAGTTAAGAATAAAGGATTAAGTGAATTGTCTACGTGGACACTTAACTCATCAAAGATGATGGCAAGAGTTAGGTTGGAGTTAAAAACAATATACCAGCTACTCAAGTACAAAAAGAATGATTTGGAAAAAGCACTTGGATAAAGTGGGCTTTAAGGGAAGAACGTTTTTTTTTATGAATAAAGAAGAATTGTGTGAAAGCATCATTGTCGTTAAAGGGCGCCGAGTCAATTCTGACCCATAGCGACCTTGTATGGGATGCCGGTAAGGAGCAGTTGGTAAGCTTGAGCCACTGAACTTGCAGTTCAAATGGCTTGGCAGTCTGGTGCATTATCCCATAGCGCCACACCAGGACTCCTTGAAAGTATCATTAAGAGCCTATTATTAAGAACCTCTTGGTTCTTTCATTTCTACAAAAGAGCAACTGGAGAAAAGAAGTAGTGTCCTCCAAGTTAAGTTGGTGTTTAATAAGGAGGTTGAGGGAGAATCCCAAAAAGAGTTAGAACTTGAAAAGAAGTTTTTTTGTATATTGGGAATTCCATAGAGGACAGAGAATGGCTTTTTGGTGGGGGTGCACTGGGAGTTGGTGGGATAACAGGTTGTCTGACGGGGCGGCATGCGGTAGGATAAAGCAATATGGAGATGAGGTAAGATTGGTAACTAGATGGGGTGTTCTTTGTCAGATAGTTTCTGACTTGAAGAATTTTTGGCTTTAAAAATATAGTAATGTTCAAAAGGTAAATGATCATATTTTTTAAATGGGCAGGAATAAAAAGTATCTGCATACAGAGCCATTGTTGTTGTTGTTAAGTGCCGTCAGGTTGGTTCTGACCCATAGCAACCCTGTAGAGGATTTCCATTAGAAAACTACAAAATGAACTCTTGGGAAATTTATGTTTCAAGACACCAGTTGTTGTTTTTTTTTTTTGTGTGTGTAGATCTTTGAATAGCTGTATGCAAGTGAATAATGAAGATGCTTATAAAAGATTAACCTAAAGAAAAACCTTTCAAGCAGCAAAAGGTCTTGAGGTGACTTTCTGCTCTCAGTCATTATTCAACCATTTGTTCACTCAGCACTCAACATGTTTTACAGGTCTAGCATGCATAGAGATGTCCTGTGTACACAGCCTCATTGAATTCAGCCTGATGAATCCAATCATTTTAAATGGTGCCATGTTTTATTATTATTATTTTAAGTTTTTAAATTGTGAACTGAGTAATAGTTTACAAGGGAGAACGTTGGCTTTACACCATCTTTTCATTGCAATGATTACAATCTCCTCCACGCATCATCGTTCAACAGTATTTGCTTCCATTCCCTGTTCCCTGTTTTTTGCAGGGGGTGGGGAGGATGCATACAGAAACACTCAGGAATATATAATAATTTGAACAACCAAAGGGCACATTCTGCAAGGCTGGCTCCTGGCTGCCAGCACCCAGTCCTTCTCTTTCCATGAGTCCAGAGTCCTCAGCTGCTCCCTCTCTCCGTGTCTTCTTCTCTGCCTCCATCTCTGATGTTGCTGTTTCTCTGGATAGGGTCCCACACTCTCCTTGTGCTCTTCTCTCTTGATGGTCCTAGGGTCCTCTATTTTTGCACTGTAAGATTAACTACTCCCCCATTTTTGTTACAAAACTACCTGTACAGTTATAACAGTCGCAATTAGTCATGATAACAGTTACTCACTGTTGAATCATAAGAATCTTACCCTTATCTCTTTTCAACAGATCTGTCTAGACAAGATGAAAACTATTCAGTGGGGACTCTACCTTCCCCTGCACACTCTCAAATGAAACTCCTTCTTGAAAACTTGTAAGCCAGTCACTTTTGTGCCTTTATTGCCCCCTCATTTTAGGTAGCCAATGTCTAAGTTGCCCATCCCTATCTACCCTGTGTACAGAGGGGATAGCATTGATACTTGATGTGAAGACTTCTTTGGTATTTAGAGTTACTACATCCATAAGTATAGGTCAAGGTCATGAAATTGTAGCAACTTATACTTGTTTCCTTTATCAAAAATTGTTGTTTTTTAAAAAAATCTTTCTCTAGTCGAGTTCTGATTATCAAGCCATGGAAGCTAGGTCATATGGGTACTATCTGCAAGTTTGGGTGTTCTTGTGCGTCTCCCCTTACTTCATATCAGCTGATGCTTCACTCTCAGCTCTAGTTCTCTGTAGCTATGTCCTTGTCCATGGGCTCAGGAGTCCCCAGGTCTCTTACACTTTGGACCAAGCAGCCCTTCCTCTTCTCTCTCTCATCTCCAGGTCAGTGGGAGTCTATTAAATGTTGTTGTACTCAGCCCATTTCTTCATTGCTACCTTTCCCCCTTTTCCACTCACCAGTAGACCAACAAAAAATATGGAACGTTTTACTAATTTGCGTGTCATCCTTGCGCAGGGCCATGCTTATCTTCTCTGTATGGTTTCAATTTTAGTATATGTGCTGCTGAAGTGAGCCATGTTTTGAAGGCCAAATATAGAAATTTACTTTTAGTGACTTGATGAAGTGATAGCCAACTTTAGATAGTTTTGCACAGTTTCATGATTTCTGTCTTCCACACTTTCTTTTGTTGTTCCATCAGATACTAATATATATATATATATATATATATATTTTTTTTTTTTTTTTTTTTTTTTTTTTTTCGCTTACATGTTTACCCAAACCTGACCATGTTCCCATGATTAAGTATTTTAACCGAATCTAAATTTCTAATCCACTAGCTTTGTTTGGGGTAGTAAGAAGGAAAGCTGTGATGAAAAGAATTTTTAGTCTTAGCTTTCTCCGGGATCTTATAATTTTAATGTGGGCGCTTTTAGAAATTATATCGAATAGATGATATTGAGCACAGACTTTCTCTTGTTTCTTCTCCCTTCCTGTCTGCCAGTCACCAAAGTAATGCAAAGACATTGTTTGACTTACCATGTCCAAATGCAGCTGCTTAGTCCAGTTTGATATAGCTGAAAATATGCGCAGTCATGGCATACTTGTTAAGGACACACATTTCATGCGCTCTCAAATATTTCCCTCACCAGATTGCAGTGGCAAATTCTTCCCTATATTTGACTTGAAATTGCAGCTAATAGAAATGCAAAATTGGTTTGCACCACAAGGTTGGCTGTTATTTTATGATCATACAGTGACAACCGAGCTACTATTTCTG